CAGTGCAGGAATTAAGTGTCCCAGGTCTCATTAACATTCAGAACACCTGAACAAGCCAAGCCTCTGGGAATAATTTGATTTTAATTTCCAAATCACTTGTGGTTAAGTAGATCTCAGTAATGTATTCAAAGTCAATATATTCTATTTAAAAATACAGTGAGAAAAGATTGTTTAGATCCTGTTTAGTTTTGTTTTCCTGTTAATTTATTGTTATGTGCAACTTCCAATTGACAGTAAATCCATGGACCTCGTCATGCAGTTTGAGTGGATATTAAAATTAAGACCCTTCATGGCTGACAATCCATCAGACTCTGTCCCTACCCCCACCCCACCATTTCCCCCATCCAAGCCCTGGCCCTCAGAGCAGCCTTGTGCAAATCTGAGTTCCCTCCAGCCCAGGCTGCACCTGCAGCTTTCAGCTCCTTGGCTCCAAATCCCACCTACTTTCCTTGGAGAAGGAGCTGCCCGAGACACAGAGGGATGTTCATTTCTTGTCAGCCAACAAGGCCAAGGGAAGGCATAGCTCTGTAAAATGCAAAAGTCATTCTTCTCCCTGGCTCTGCCCTGCCTCTGATCCCCACAGCCTGTCCTGTTCCCTTCAGGAAAAAGTTTCCAGTCCTGGGGCAGCATCAAAGGCATGGGCATGCTGGGCTGCAGGGCACCTTATCTTCTATGACTTTTTTTTTTTTTTTTAGATCATGGAGGGGCCCTCCCCTGTCTTTGCTGGGTGTTCCTAAAACAATGATAGGGGAGTTCCAAGGGCTGTTGGTTTTGGTGATGCGGCCCTTGGCAAGCTGCTCCTCCACGAGGGCCTCCAGTGCACGTAACTTTGTGTTAGAAAGAAAGGGGCCACTGGTCATTCCACACTGGATGTTGTTGTTTCCAGGTGAGTTGTGGGATGGTGGGTTTCACACACTTCACAGTGGCCCCCACTAAGAATCCCTACTGGGAATTTTTAGAGAGGCGCCCCATTGGGCTAGAAGGTCCCTGCCCCAAAAGGTGATCAGTGCCCTCACCACGAATGGCTGGATGGTTGCCATCTTGCCTTCGGGACCTTCTACTATAATATTTCTCTTACTCCTTATGGAAACCGCTGCCCTTCCAATCCCTGAAATCATCCCCGCCACGGGCTGTAGTTCCCAATTTGCTGCCTATTCAGAGCGGGCTATGATGGTAACATCCACCCTGGTGTCCAGCATGCTCAGGCAGTAAATCTTCTCCCCTTTGCAGAACAGGCCACACTCCATGACAGGTTTGTTGGAGGCCACAACCTGCACCCACATGATGGTGGGGTTGAGGGGAACCTGTCCTGGATTGTCTTTAGGTAACAGGAATGCTTGTGCAATAGGAGTCCCTTGTGATAGATAAAAAGGAGGTTCTGTGCAACAGAGCTGTACGAAAATTTCTTCCCCTGGGCCAATGGTCTGGACTTTGGAAGTGACATAAATTTGTCCAGGTCCATGAAAAGTGCCTCCCAGAATGAATATATTGGAAGGACCATCGGATGGCCCACATCTTCCCGTTGGCACGCGGTGAAGCATTCCCTGTTAGAGAAATCTATGGACAGCTGAGTTACCAGCTGGTGCCGGGTTCCCACCTGTCCCGCTCCATGCGTTGGATCCCGCTGATGTCCCTTGGGATCCCTGCAGTGATGATGCTGCTCATGGTCGGCCTGCAGCTCCTGATGGGTGTCAGTTGTCACCATCTGTTCGTATGAATGGGGGTTGTGATGGTTTGCTTACTGCTCTTGGAGTGCAAAACCAACACGGAAAGGGGATTGCAGTATCAATCAGAACAAATGCACCTTTATTGAATGACCACAGCAAATGTGTTAATGGAATTAGAGAAAGGAAAAGAATAGAAAAGAGGTGGAGAGAGAGAGAGGGAGCTACCAAACGTAGAGAGAAAAAGTCCTTGTAGTCCAACTGATGGAGTTCGCCTAGTCACATTGGGGAGATCTCAAAAGTCCTGGTAAACTCAAGGTTCTATTATAGTCCATTGCTGAGGAGGGGAACAAATCTTGAAATTGTTGAGGGGGAACAGATGCAATAAAGAATAAGTCTATTGAAATTGCTGAGGGGGAAAGAAGGTATTGAAGACAGGTACAGACAGTCTATGTTCTCAGCAGTAGGTGAGAACCATTGTCTTCTTGGTCCAATGGCCATACCTGCAGGCAAATATCTGGCTTTGGTCAGGTCAGCTCCCCCACACACCTCCCCCATGTTGAGGGTTTCAGTCTCAGTCCTTGGGAAGGGGGAGCTTCTCCATATAGGGTTCTCATATCTCAGTCCTTGAGGGAGAGTCTTCTCCCATCTCAGTCCGTCCATCAGGGTGGTTGAAAAGCAGATGATGGCTCTTCTGTGGGAGGGGGACCACCAAAGGTTACCCCAGAAAAGTCCAACCAGGCCAAGAGGTGGGGAAATCCACAAGCTATTGTCACAGAGCAGGTGCAAGCACATGGGGTGTATCACCCCCTGGCAGGCCCTGCTAGAAGCAGTCACTGTAGGCACAGCTGCAAACAATCCCTTGGCAGGCCAGAATTCTGCTCAGGAGTCTCAGGATTATTTGGTGTTCATCCACCACCGGCAGGCCAGAATTCCAATCCAGGTCCTCAGGGTCCCAATGTCTGTCCTGGGGACGGTAGTGAGGCAAATGAGGGGAACTGCAGACCATCTCTCACACCTTCATGTGCATGCTCTGGGAAGCCAGGAGCAAGCTGCTCCAGGTGCAGTGCCCCCCCTGCCTCCCCGGCAGGGCAGGGGTCAATGAGCCAGTGGTGGCTGTCCCTAAACAGATCCACAGCTGGCTGTAGCAGAGGGGCTGGTGGCTGCCCATGCCGGGGGACGCGCTCCTCCAAGTCTGACTGGGATGTGCCTATCAAGGTGGATTCGCTTTCCCATGGGGTCTGGCCCCTTAGAGTTCTGGAAAGCATTGACCAGATTGATAGTAGTCAAGGTACACTCACATCTCACCTCGGTTCCCCCAGACACAGAGACCCAGTGAGTCCCAGGCCTGCAGATCCAGTGAGATTTCCACATCCACGGGGAAACCATGAATTTTGGCCTAACAGAAAAGCCTGCAGAGAACATCTTGCAACATAGGAAGTCTCATGACAAATCATAAGTTCCCACACTGCAAGGGTTTCATCTTCTGACATAGAAATTTGGATGCCCATTTCTGCAGGCACCTTTTCCCAACCGCAAGCTCCCCCGGGTCACATCGGGGTTCACCCCTTGCCGTAACCAGGCGTCCCCAAAGGGGTAATAATTAGCATTGACTCCACGATTCTCAGAAGGCTGATCAATCACTTTATTATACTATGCCTTTTAAGACACCCATCGCCCTTAGAGACAGTCACCATACAGGTGGACCTAATTGGTCCTTGAATCCAAACACCATCACCAGTGGCCAATTAAGAAATCACCCTTTGGTAAACAAATCTTCATAACACATTCTACATGTTCACAACAGCAGGCGCAGCAAGTGAAGATAAGAATTATTTCTCATTAATTTCTCTGGTCTTCTCACAGCCTTCCCTAAGACAATGCCTGGCTAGTTGTGCCTTGCTCCCTGTGGCCAGAGAGCTGCTGCCACATGTTTGCAGACTGCTTCCATGTCTGCCCTTCCCAGGTGCCCAGGATCCTCTGGGATGGCTCTGGCCTTTCCAAGAGCTTTGAGAGAAGTCTCACAGTGACACTGCCCAGCCTTCTCAACATCCCTGACACCAAAAGCCTTTTCCACATCCCTCAGTGCCAGCTTAGTGCCCAGGACACAGCAGAGCCCTGTCCAGGTCCTCAGGGTGGTTCAGAAGGGAGGCAGCTGTGATTTCTCCCCACAGAGTCACCACTCCAATGTCTCTCTGTGCAGTCTATGGCGGTCCTGAGCATTTTCCCTGGAGCCTCCCTGCCCTGGATGTTTCTTTCAATGCAGTCCTCAGCACAGCCAAGCAAAGAATTTAGGTGGTTTCCGAGAGGACATTCCTCTTGAGTGAAGTGGCCTCAAGGCACTGTTTGTGCCACTGGAATTGTGCCACCCCCGGGTGCTGCTGATGGTGTTTGTACTCACTGGGGTTCATCTCCCCACACACACATGATGCACTGCTGAGATCTCCTCAGTACAGAGCAAACATGGCCTGCTGGCCTTGGTGTCCCTCTGTGCAGTGACAAACAACCTCCTGTAGGTAGGGAGAGGCCAGTGCTGGCAGTGGTGGTTGCAGGGGCTGGTGTGGGACAATTGCCCTGGGCCACCTTCCCAGGCTGTCCTGGAACAAGGACAAAGCCCAGGCCCTGCTCTGCTTCTGCCTCAGGTCCATGCCAGGAGCTCTGGCTGTGCCAGGACTCTGCTGTGAGCCCCCCATGCACACTCTCCCCCTGCCCCAGGCACTGGGTTTTGCTGTGCCAGGACATTCCTGGGGCACATTCCTGACAGCAGGAAATGGAGAGAGGGCAAAGCCTTCCTGCTCTGCCCTCAGGGGATGCCCTTTCCTGATGGAGCTGCTGTGCTTGAGCCCAGCTGTGTCCCAGCAGTGCCCATGGCCTGGCCCTGCCTGTGGTCACAGCAGGGACATGCAGCAGGACAGTGACCAAGTTGCCAGAGCACTCTGGCCTTGCACCCACAGCAGGGCTGGGAAAGAGAGTGTGGACTTGGGAAGAGCAGCTCTGAAAGGACCAAGTGCTGCTGCTCCCTGGCAGTGCTGCTGTGTTGGGACCCTTCCCTTTCCCCCCTATAAATTCATGCAGGTCCCAGAGTTGAGATCCCAAAAAAACAAGGCACTGCAAGGTCGTTTATTTTGTTCAAACAAAGCAATAGTACAGCTCCTGGATTACAGAGCTTCTGGATCAAATTCAAGAGGCAGACAGGGAATTAGGTGAGGGATGAATAGAAACATTTAATTGAGCACTTTATGGCAAGAAGAATCCATCGGCATGACCAAATACCTGAGAAGGCAGAGACTGGGCCAGTCATGAGTTCCATTCTGAAAACTAAGCAGCAGAAAACAATCACTTCTTTGCTTCTGAAAAGTACCCAGTCATCTTTGTCCTCAGGGCATCCTTGAGCTCCTGGTTCCTCAGGCTGTAGATGAGGGGGTTCAGGGCAGGAGGCACCACCGAGTACAAAACTGACAGGGCCAGATCCAGGGATGGGGAGGACATGGAGGGGGGCTTCAGGTAGGCAAATACTGCAGTGCTGATAAACAGGAAGAGCACGGCCAGGTGAGGGAGACAGGTGGAAAAGGCTTTGTAGCGTCCCTGCTCAGAGGGGATCCTCAGTACAGCCCTGAAGATCTGCACATAGGAGAAAACAATGAACACAAAACAACCAACTAACAAAAAAGTACAAACTATGAGAAGCCCAAGTTCCCTGAGGTAGGAATTGGAGCAGGAGAGCTTGAGGATCTGAGGAATTTCACAGAAGAACTGGCCTAAGGCATTGCCATAGCACAGGGGCAGGGAAAATGTATTGACTGTGTGCATGACAGCGTAGAGAAAGGCACTGGCCCAGGCAGCTGCTGCCATGTGGGCACAAGCTCTGCTGCCCAGGAGGGTCCCGTAGTGCAGGGGTTTGCAGATGGACACGTAGCGATCATACGACATGACTGTGAGAAGGGCAAGCTCTGATCCAGAGAAGAAGAAAATCAGAAAAACCTGTGCAGCACATCCAGTGTAGGAGATGGTCCTGGTGTCCCAGAGGGAATTGTGCATGGCCTTGGGGACAGTGGTGCTTAGGAAGGCCATGTCAAGAACAGAGAGGTTAAGCAAGAAGAAGAACATGGGCATGTGCAGGTGGTGGCCGCAGGCTACGGCGCTGATGATGAGGCCGTTGCCCAGGAGGGCAGCCAGGGAGATGCCCAGCAAGAGGCAGAAGTGCAGGAGCTGCAGCTGCCGCATGTCTGCCAATGTCAGCAGGAGGAAGTGCCTGATGGAGCTGCTGTTGGACATTTGCAGTGTCTTGGCATGGGGATCTGTAAAAAAAGTAATCATGGTATAGTTGTGTTTGAGGAGGACTTTAAAAATCCCAGCACAGACTGGGGGCACTTTCCCCCCACTCCCTGCCCAGGGCTCTGCTGCCTGGAACTGTCCCTGCCAGCAGCTGCTTCCCTGTGCCCAGGACTGGGCCCTGCCAGTGCTGCCAGAGCCCAGCCCAGCCCTGGGGGCTCAGCTCTGCCCTGCAGACCCCTCCCAGCTCTGGCACTGCCCAGGGGAAGCTCTGGCTCTGCAGGCTCTGATCGCAACGTCAGAGCAACCCTGAGGAGGCTGGAAAAGCAACAAAGATGCCGCCGTCTGAGGGGCCCTGTGATGATTTCTGTCACTGCCTGGTTTATTCAGGTCTATTGGGGTTTTTTTAATTTATTCTCCACCTGAACTGAGAGATGAATATCTATATGCAATTTCCCATTCAGGCAAAACAGAGCAGTAGAATAAAAACCCAGGCTTTTCGCATTTATGAAACCCCTGCCAAGCTCTGCTCCCTGTATGATCTACTTGGAAATGTTCTGCAGTTAAATGCCATGATGGGAGCAGTCCTGAACAATGCAGCATCCTCTCCACACAAGGAGAACACTTCCAAGCCTTACCAGCTGTCTCCTCCCACCCAGATCTTGTCCCCCAGTGCCAGGAGCAGCTGCCAGGGCTGGCTGAGAGCTGTCCCTGGCAGGCAGCAGAGTCCCTGCCCCAGCACAGCGCCCTGGGCTGCAGGACCCTGCTCTGCAGGACAGCCCTGCGCACCCTTGGCTGCTCTGCACAAGAGACAATCAGAGAATGTACTCACAGGGTCTGTAGGCACTGGGATGTTCCAGCTTCAGGAGATGGCTCCAGGTGCTGCAGCTGCATTGTCCTGCAGCCAGAGGTTCCTGTGCCAAGGGCTGGCAGTGATTCTGCCACAGGCACTTCTCAGCACCTTCCCAGCCCTGACTGATTGAAGCTCTCTGTGCCTCTGTTCTGTGCCTGGGGTGGCTGCAGGCAGTGCCCCAGCCCTGCTGGGCTGGCAGAAGAGCTGCTCATCAAGAGAAATGTGCTTTTGAAGCTCTTCTTGGTTACCGGGAGCTGCCTCTGTGCCAGGAGCCCAACCCAGCTCAGCAGCACAGATACAGCACCAGGACTGTAATGAGCCTCTGGGGCTTTGTGCTCAGGCCTTGAACATCAGTCCCTGAGAGGGAGTTGAAGAAACCTCTCCAGAACTCCAAGTCAGAATCCAACTCCAAAGTTTCTTGGACTTGTAATGGGTCCCAGTGAGGGACACAACTGAGAAAGTGTCCCCAGGCCCCAAGCAGAGCAGAGAACTGGAGGCAGTGATGACAAGTGGGGACAAAGAGAAGCCAGTTCTTGGCGCCCTGGGGCACAGGAGCAGGGTCTGTGCCACCAAGGGCTGTGAGGAGACACCTTGTCCTGAGGCACTGGGGTCTCCTGGCACAGCCCCAGCCAGGCTGGGCACTGTCATCCCCTTGTCCTGCCCTCCACATCCCCCCCCTAGTCCACATCTCAGTGGCCTCAGGGATCTGCTGGAAGGAGTCCCTGGGGAGCCTTGCTCAGGAATGGCCCTGGGGGCTCCTGAATGCTCCCTGCAGGGATTGCAGGTTTTTCAAAGGACTTTGGGTTTGGCTTTTTCATTGGAGTCTCTGAGAGGTTTGTGTAATCATGGCCTCTAATTATCTGCTTTAATTAGTCCCTGGAGAGTCTTTGTCAATAACAATACTTAGTGGGGCTCATTAATGCTTCAAGGTACTTCAGTTATTTTTGGTACTTGGTGTTTCCATTTTGATAAAGACTCTATTAGATTTTTGTGCAACCATGGTCCCAATTATCTTCTTTAATGAGTCCCTGGAGAGCTTTGTACTGACACTCAGTGGGGCTCATTAGTTCCTTGAGATACGCAAGGATTTTAAGGTATTTTATGGATTTAAGAATACTTTTAGGTACTTTTAAGGATTTTCCTTTCCACACTGAGTCTCTGAGAGGTTTTTGTGCCATCCTGGCCTCCAGTTCTCTCCTCTAAGGACTCCATGAGGATCCTGTGTTGGGTATCTTCCCCCTTTCTGTTTTGCAACAAAGATGGAACTGAAAGAATTTTGTAAGACTTTCTAAAACCATCCAAACAAATATGGGACAATTAACAATACAACAACCACCACTAAGAGAATAATAATCTGGTTTTAGTTAGACCTCATCCAAACCTTAAGTCCTTGGGATTGGAAGAGTTTATTGACCCAGTCTTTGTGTTCCACTTGAAGTTTCTTGAACCCTTCCTTCAGAACCTGAATGCTCATGTGGATTGACTCGCTGTGACTGGAGAGGTTCATGCAACACATGCCCTCAGAGTCTACACACCCATGCTCATGTGCCCAGAGTAAAAACTCTATCGCTGTTCTGCAAGGTGGCATGTCTGATGGTCTTTATGTCTGAGAGCAGGCCACTCAATGTGAGGGACATAGCATTGGTTTGCTTACTTAACAGGCACCCAAGATGGTCCAATTGTCCTAAAGCTTTAGCTGCAGCCACCCAAGGTAATCCAAACTGGGGGTGGTACCATCCGATACCTGGATTAAAGCTTTCAAAGCCATCTCTTTGATATCATCCAATACTTCTCTGAGGATACCTGCTGTTTGATCATCTGGTAGGCTGTATTGTCCTTCTCCAGCTAGATGGTTGATTGTCAATTCCACCCTTGCCTCATTATTAGCATAGTCTGCTATTAATTGATTTAGTAAACACTTCCATCCCCCTTCCCACAGGGTGTGTTCTGTAGGTGACAACAACACGGTCATATTATATTTTAAATCATAGGGGGTTAACATATGTACTGTAAACATGGCCCTCATTAGACCATTAAAACAAGGTAAGTCCCTCCTATGGTCTTTAGCTGCCCTACACAGATCCTTGATTTCCTTGCAAGCCAATGGCTGATACCTGGGATTCTGCCCCCTTCTTTCATAACATACGGGGGCAACGAGGAGTTGTTGAGACTGTTTGCCAGTCTCCTTCCTAACTGCTTCTTTCCGGATCCTTTCCTGGGGATCTTCTGGGGCTGAGGGGTGAGGTGGCTCTGGGGAATCCAAACTGTCTTCTGGGGATGAAGAGCAACTTGGAGCAGAAACATTTGGATTAGAAACACTGTGACTGTTGGGTTTAGTATCATTGATCATGGGGTTATATTGTCGCCAGAGGGGGAGGCAAAGGGCACTGCCATTTTGTCAGGTGTTGGGAGGAAGGGCCTTGATTCAGGATGGCGGACTTCCGGGGTGGAGTTCTGGAGGCATGGCCCAGGGTGAAGGTGGAATGACTGACAGTGAGGCATGACCCACAGTTGTGGGGGTGGAGTCTGGAGGTTCATTCAGGGCGGAAGAGAAAGTTTTGGTAGCAGGAAGTGGAGGAGCTAAGATGGAGGGAGGATGGTGAGGCTCAGGGGCATCTGGAGAATTTTTAATGATCCGCCTCAGGATTGATTTTAACTTGTTCTTTGAAGATATTTGGTCATGATCTGTGAGAACTAACTTAAAGCATCGATATACACACCTTTCTACTTTGGACATCTGGCTGCCCATTTTTCTCTTTCTCTGCCTTACGTAGAACAGCCACTGGAACACCCTAAATCAGTTATGGGACGTCGGTGTGTATTGTAAAAAGACAGTGACAAAATGGGCAATAATTGTCCTGTGTGTCCCCAAACCCACCTGCAATCCTATGCAGGTGAAACTGTCATTTTCCCTTGTGGATCCTGGCCAAGGTCCCTCAAAGAAATGATGAATCTGCCAGCCTGGCACAATCCACAATCCTGGGGAGCACTGGCCTGTCCATCAGCTAACCCCAGCTGACATGACTGAATGTCAGGGTCCGTGTTCGGGTGCCAAATGTCGCAATGAGGGTGGCTGTGACAAACCTTTCTGGTTCCCCAACTTCAGGGCAAGTGTGGTGAAAATGAAAAGGAGCAGATGCAAGGGAAGATGAAACAGAAAAGCCTTATAAATATGATTGCCTGGCAAAAGATTTTGAAAATATGGAAACTGTCAGATTGAAATGAAAGCAAGCTTTGAGATACCAAGCCTTAGTTACTGAACAACTGGAAAATAATGGTATGGCCGGCTGAAGGTAATCCCCTTCTGATGAAACAACTCCCTCTGCTTGCAGACAGGTCCAAGGGTCAGAGCAGACCCTACTAGCTTGGCAGAAGGGGTCCAAAGAGTAGTTTTTAGGGTTTAAAATGTAACACAGTATGGTAATGTAATGATTCTTATAGGCTGTATGTAAATGCTGTAAGATTTGTATCTTGCACTAGATTAGTTACTGAAAATTAGAATATGCAGCACAGAAGATTTATTGTATTGTAACGGGAACTCCCCTCCTCTTTTGGGCATCCATTTTGGGCGCCTCTTTCAAGCTCCTCTTTCGGGCCTGCTCCGAGCTGTGGCTGGCAGCTCCAAACAAGGCCCCTGCACCCACACCCTTTGCAATAAACCACAAGTTGAAAGACCTGGCCTCAGAGATCTCTCACCTCCGTCCGTCCCAACCGTCCTACCCACCAATGCTACAACAAGCAGGATCAATGGAGTTGCCCAAAAAGAACTTTAGTAACAGGGTGAAAAACAACAAACATGGAGAAGTCAAGCACAGGACGAGGGATGGGATTCAAAGACCTGAGAAAAAGGCAAAGCAACAATATATACACTTGAGGGTAGAACACTCTAGAACAATAATCCTGTAGGGGAAACAAGCAACCACTGGAGGAGAAGAACTTGGACTACTTAGCATAACAACACTAAAGGCTTATGGGGGAACTCTCAAACTTACCCTAAGTTAAATGAATTATTCCCAGGGCTTGAAACTCACGCCCAGTTCTTTGGGATAAAATCCATCTGACTCTGAGTTACAGCTGGGCTAACTTCCACACCGCTGCTTTGCTCTGGTCCCTTGGGCCCAACAGAGCCACAATGATCTGCAATGGTTCCACAAGGCTCCACAGTGTCACAATAGTCCCTTGGATCCATGGTGCTCTGTAGTGTCACAATGGCCAAATGAAGGTTTCACAAGGCTCCCAAATGTCACATTGGTCTCCATAGGAAGGAAATCACTTATCCCCATGTTTCAGAAGCTGATGAATGGCAACCACCAGAGGCCAAGGCAAGCCTGACCTGTCTGTCTTGGCAGGTTTGCTTGGAGCAACTCATGGATATTTGAAATTATGAATGTGGAGTCCCAGTTTCAGACATTTGTGCCTGGAGAAGAGGGATGGGAGTTTTTTCCATAAAAAGAAAAGCGCAGAGCCCTTTCCAGTGTTTGGAGTATAAGTGAATGCTGTCCCTCAGGAGTCAAAGACCAGCCCGACTTGTCTGTCCTAGTAAATTTAGTCTGGGAGCAATCCTTTAATACACAAAAATTTGGAGGTGGAATCCTAATTTTGGCCATGGATGCCTGGAAAAAATGGACAGTTCTTTTCCATAAAAAGAAAAGCCCAGAGCCACAGTGTTTCAGGGGCAGATGGGAGCAGCCTTCCACATTCCCAGGTCAGCCAGACCTGTCAGGTGACCCCTGGGAGGCCAAGGCAGCCACACCTATTTCATGTTTCCTTGGTGCCACAGGGCCCTGCAGTGTCACAATGGTTCTCTTGCTTCCATGAGGGTTTGCAGTGCCACAGTGGTTCTCTGCTTCCATGATGCCCTCAGGTGTCATAATGGCCCCTTGGTTAGACAAGTCCTTAAGGATCTTAATGGTCTCCATGGTTCCACAAAGCTCCACAGTGTCACAATGGTCTGTTGGTTCCATGAAGCCTTGCTGTGTTCAATGACCCCCCGCAAAGTTTCCGCAACTTCCCATAGTGTCACAAAGGCCCCTTCCCTCCATGAGGCCCCACAGTGTCACAAGGGTCTCCATGATTCCATGAGGCCTTGCAATGGCACAATGCTCCCCATGGATCCACATTGCCTCGCAGGATCACAATGGACCTTTAGCTCCACAAGGCCCTGAAATGCAGCAATGGCCTCTTGGTTCCACAAAGCCCTGCTGCTTCACACTGGCCCCTTGGGACCATGCGGCTCAACAGAGCCACAAAGATATCCTTGGTTCCACAAGGCCCCACAGTGTCACAGTGGCCCCTTGGATCCATGATACCCTGCAGGGTCAACATGTTCCCCTTGGTTCCACAAGTTCCTACAGTGTAACAGATTCCACAAGGGCCTGCAGTGTCACCATGGCCCATTGGTTCCACAATGCTCCGCAGTGTCACAATGGTCTCCATAGGAAGGAAACAAGTGAGCCCCAGTGGTGCAGGGGCAGATGAGAGGCAGTCACCAGAGGCCAAGTCTAGCCAGACTTGACTGTACGGGCAGATTTTGTCTGGGAATAACCCTTGCATATAGAGAATTTTAGATGCAGAATCTCAATTTTGGCCATGGGTGCCTAGACAAGAAAGACAGTTCTTTCCCATAGGAATAAAACCACAGAGCCCCAGTGCTTCATGGTCAGATGGGAAGTGGCCCTTGACATGTCAAATTCAGTGGGACCTGTCAGACAGCACCCATGAGTCCAAACCAGGCAGACGTGTTCCATGTTCCCTTGACTTCATGGGTCCTAACACTGTCACAATGGTGTCCTTGATTCCATGAGGTCTGGCAATGTCACAATGGCTTCTTGGTTTCATGAGCCCCAAACAGAGTCACAAGGGTCCATTGGCCCCATGCAGCCCCGCTGTGAAACAATGGCTCCTTGTTTCTATTTAAATCAATCACAATCAAACCACAGTTCGATCACTGATCCTTGCTTCCATAGGCCCCCTGAGCTGCACAATGGTCTCCTTGATTCC